CGCACGCAGAAATCAGCGGTGAGTGCCGACAGTCGGAAAAGAACTGGGCTATGTCGTTCTCTGCGAAGAATGCAATATCCGTTTAAAGGAAATTTGTTATCAGCGCGAACTGGGAACGCGTCGTAATTCTTGCAAATCAAGAATCGATTGCGTTTCATTTATCGAAAGAGGGAGTTGACCGGCTTTGTTATATGGTCTCACGTCTGTGACCTCGTTTTTTAATCGCGGATACTAGAGACCACATTTCCAGCATCGACGCGTAATTTTCACACTGTGTCATGTAAAAAATTATAATCTCACCCTTAACGGAATCCCCTCATATATTTCCTCGAGAAAATTCTCCTAAAACCGAAAGGGAAATATTCTAAACATAATATTCTTAAGATTAGAAAACATTTCGTCTTTTATTTTTTGTAGTAGAATTTTGCTTTTCGCATCATTTGTAAGAGGATATATTCCGCTTTAATTAGATACATTTTTCTTGATCCAAAAGAAAAAAAAGATGTTAGAATAACAACTAATAGATATTTCCGAATAATAGTCCATTTCATTAAAAGAGGAATAAGACGAGTGTTCTAATTAGTGATAGCAGAATCTATTTTTCTTAATAAATCGGTTAATATGGCTGTATATTTATCCTAAATAAATATGTGTTCTTATTGCTAATTTTATATGTTATAACAAGTTTAAAAAAAAATTAGAAATCATAGTAAACGTTGAAACATCGTAATTTTACGAGCATACTGCTGACAGCGACAGTTCGAACAGCTGCGCGCCGACATCTCAGAAGTTGACAGTTAATATCACATGTCTATTTGTTAGATATGTGCAGTTATTCTTCAAGCGACTGAGATAGCTATGTCAAAGTTGAGAGAAGTTTAAAAAATATTCTATAAGCAAAGAAAGTAACAAAATATATAATTTTCGTTGTTAATTTATATATGCCACAAATTTATTTAAATAGCACAAATATGAGTTATTAGCCATTATCAAATCGCCATATTTAAGCCAAACAATAAGTTAATAATGCATTCATAATTCTGTATTGATTAGTGATATTCGAATGATAATTACTTATTATTTTTATTAATAAATTTATATATTCCTTTTTTATCTTTTCACAATAAGGTTACTTGATTATTAATTGGCAAATTCACATTATGTCACAAATTGGGACAAACTGGCGATTGCCGATTAACGATTGAAGATGAAACTTGGCCAATTAGAACAAAGCAAGCCAAGGCTGAAGCCCGTTGATTCGTCAAAATCTAATCATCAAAATCTAATCTAATATCTAATAGTTACCAAACATTTCTTAATTTGAGACATGCCACGAACGCAAGAAAAAATCTGAGAAAATTTTAGTTTCTTCCGTGTAAAAGATTGAAGTTTTCTGTACAATTTACTTTGTGAAAAAATTTCTCTACAATCTTGTGTTTCCGTATTACTAAGGGTTAAAGTAAAATTGCATTTCATTTCGATTGCTCATGACTCCATTAAACTTCATCGCACAACAATACAGAAAATGAATTTTTAAACTTCGCTCTATTAAATGACATAAATGCCGATCTTGTAAATGTAAGTGCAAAGCAGAATTATTATAAAATATCCATTTTAATATTCTTATTTTTATCTGTGTTTCCAAACTTATGGAGGGTACTGTAAGTCAATAATAAGTTAATATATATCATGATTCTATACCAATTGGTGATATTCGAATGATGATTACTTATTATTTTTTATTAATAAATTTATATATTCCTTTTTTATCTTTTCACGATAAGACTACTTGATTACTAATTGGCAAATTCAATTATGTTACAAATTGGGACAAACTACGACAAATAGGGAAAAGTATTGGATCAATCAATCATAAATTCAGTAAAATCTTTCCATAAATTAGAAAAGATAAAGAATTCAGATGTGAATATAACACAATTGAAACTCTAAATGTTCAAGGTTTTCCAACAAAATAAATTTTGTGTATTTAACTTAACATGTACATTGTTAATTGATTAATTTATTTTCACGATGAGCTTACTTGCACCAATTGAGATATTCATCTTATTCTTTCGGTAAAAGTTTTCGCTTAGAGTATGGAGTTACAAAAGATAGCATCTTGCAACTAGAATTTTTATGTTGAGGTGTAAAAATATCTTCCTGTTGGTTTTAAAAGAATCCTCTTGAGGCCATATATAAAAGAATTCCGCTAAGGAAATTCTTCTTTTGGGTAACCTAAATAGTTAAGGGAAAAATTGGGGAAAGAAACATTTTGACTTGAAATAGGATTTGTAATCTGAAGGTTGAGAGGCGGTAGAAAGGTCTTGCTCCTTTTTCAATGAATTTTTACTCGAGTTTCACACAATGCTCACGTGAGGTTTGCTCGTAGAGTTGAACATTTCTCGACTTAACGACACAATCGCAGCTACGTTATGTTTCTTTTCCGCGAGAGACGCAGCTGTATTTGCGTTTTATGCTGGAGGTAGGATTATCGGGGTAACATAAGTGGAGAATCACAGCGGAAGATATATTGCACGCATAATCGGGTGCAGCACGCGCAACGTTGAATTATGCATCAGCAGGCACGAGATGGGAGGATTTGATTCGGCATTAAAAGATCATATGGCGAATGAGAGTAAACGGTAGGCTGAGAAAAATTACAAAATCCGCAGTCCAGCCGGCGCCACATGGCGTCGCTTCTCGCAATATGTTCGGATCGAATCAAATCGATATCTCCGCCTTTCTTATGTGACAAATGTTTGTCTTCATGCCGCGCGGCCCTCGCTCCTCCGTTTCCCGCTTTCACGTCCGCGAAAACGCGAGAGATCAATATAACGAATATAACGAGGATGGATTATCAATGCAAAATAATGTATCCTTAGCAAATTTATTTGCTCTCGGAGCAAAACTGCAACTGCTTATATAAATCCATCATGGTTCTTACAGCAAAATAATTTGTAGAATCAGTAAATTATATCTAGCAAATAGTGATTAGTATTGGGAGTACAAATTAGTTCGATTCGTTTTCAAAAGATGGTTCTGGTTGTTATGAATT